ATGGACAAGTGCAGGTATCAGTCTACCTTATATGCAGAAGTAATATAGGTTACTGCAAATTCTCACCTGAATTTCATCATCTTCTTGTACAGGTTGCATATTTCTACAATTTACCAGTCTAGTTTCATTAACTTTGTTTAGTTCCCATAGTTTTGTTTAAAAGGGAGAATTCGTCAACTAGTTTACAACATGATGTAACTTCTATCGTCCATTCATTCTCCTGGATCCATATACTTGACATCAAAGCTAGGATGTTAACCCATTAGGCATCTTGCAACTTAGTTAAACATATAAGATCAGTTGCGAGTAATATAAAGCATGATGGAAGCCATCTTTTTTTTTTCCCTTAAATTAACATATCTTGCACATTTAATCTTGGAAAAAGTAATTCCTGCAGGTGAAATTTACTGAGCCTGGGATATGCCACGGGTTCGTCCTATGGATTGATTGGGTGATGGATGCAGACAATGCAATTGTGTTGTCAACTGGGCCAGGTAGGTATTTCCTTTTTGTGTTTCCTTTTTTGGTATATGGAATGATGGGTTATACAATAAAAGATAGTCCTCTCCTTCCTAAACCTCTCTTCATCTATTCTAAAATTCAAACTTAAAAATTTCTAACATAGAGACTCAAGTTTTTAACTACTGGGACGTCCTCTAGGGGACCCGGGTAGGTATTCCTATGGAGGCTAATTAATCATCTGCAGAAAAATGATTGTAGGAGGTTACTCTTATCATTTTACATTGTTTACTGCAGATCACAGATATTGGAAGCAGGGGGTTAAGCTTCTGGCTAAGCCTGTAGCAGTTGGAATACAAAGATCCGAATGCACATCTGAATCAGTTTCTGCAGTAGTTGAAGCAATATTTAATCCTGCCAGCGGTGAGCTCATAATCAAACACGTTTTCTCATGATTTCTGTGTTTTTAGGAGAGCCCTTGAGTTTTGACCATTTTTTCTGGCCGTCCTTGAGTTTGATTTAATCTCTCAATTATCTTATATTTATCCGAGTGAAATTTCCAATTACAGCTGCTAACTTGTGAAAATTCTCTGTTTTAACATTCTGGGACATGTTTGCCGAGTGATGCTACCACTCGGGCTTATCATCTTCTCCTTTATTTAAAAAATAATAATAAATAATAATAAAAAAACCTCAAAAATAAAAAAGAAAGAAAAGAAGGGACCTATAATATCTAGAGTGTACATTGCATTCCTCTGATATTTATTTTTTTGGTACATCTAATATTTTTTTTTATAACTTATGGTATTATTATTTTATTATTATAGGTTAAAACCCTAATTAGGTCCCTCTACTTTGATAAAAAGTTTTTTTTTTACTTGCTCTATTTAAAAAAGCATTTTTTTTGTCCTTAAAGTTTGAAATCTGATTCTTTTTTAGTTTTTTTGTTAAGTTTTAATATTAGAGGACAGAAATTTCAAAAGAAAAGACCAAAAAAGAGTTTTTTTTCAAAGTAGAGGGATCAAATTGAAACTATTTGTAATGCCTTTTTAGCCTATTTTTGGTCTTTCTACTTTGAATTTCCGTGTTATGTATGTAAAACATAATGGAAAAACTAAAAAATAGTTGGATTTCAAATTTTAAAAATCAAAAAAGAGTTTTTTTCAGTAGAGAGACTACAAATTTTTTTTTACCAAAGTAGAAGGATGACAATGGGGATTTAACTATTATTAAACCCGCTCATTGAAACGCTTTGGGAAAAAGCTTGTCCGCAAGAGCAAGGAAAATTATCCGTCGAATTAATACCCCAGAAATAAAATAACTATTTGTCTAACCTGAAGTCATGTTATGTTGGGTTTTTTTTTTCTTTTTCCTTTGAACAGCAGTCGTGTTATGTTGGTGATAGAGGCTATTCCTCAGTTAAACTATACAATTATAAAATCAAGTTAAATTTAAAAAATTTCATTAGCAAAATAAAAAATAGTTAAATCTTAATATTTGATAATATTTTACTAAATTAAGAAATAAATGAGGAACATATATATACTCCTTTTAAGTATGCACGTTACATGGGTGAGCTAGACTGCCTGAGCCCAACCCGAAGTTGGGTTAGAGCTCAGCTTGGACGCTACTTAGGCAGAGGCGTATACCTTCAAAGACAAGATGGACTGGGCGATCTTAGCCCAAGTGCAATAACCGAATTGTATCTGTAATTCGTAGTCTTCAAAAAAAGGCTATTTATAAATTTCTCAATTTCAAGAGCAGTGATATAGAGAATTAAAATTTAAGATTAATATATGATATAAGTTATGTTATTAAATGACTATATATATCATATTATGAATTTTTAAAAATAAAAAATTATTTATTAAATAATATATAATTTATATTTTAATATTTTAACTAGTTTTTTTAATCTGTTCATTGCATGAAATTATTTTTATTTTTTTATATTACTTGTTTAATTTTATAATAATTTTTTAAT